GAAGAATAACATGAATGATGGATGTGTTCGTAGTGAAGTAAAATTTGGGTTTTGTGCAGGTTCAAGCTTGTGGATCGCTTGTAACAGAGGAGCAACCACATGCAATGCTCGTCCCGATAGAGTATTTCTTAATGGGATATGGGTTCTATAGGTCCACATTGAGCCCCGTTTCACCCCTATCGTACACAGGCTCGAGCCCACTGAGCCCAGCAAGTCCCCCGTGTATCTGCCCTGAGCTTCTTTCACCCGAGAGCTTAGGCGTCAAGCTCAAGCCTATCAAGACCCGAGTTACCGCCTCTACGATGGAGTTATAGCAGGGTGTAAAAGAGCAGCAAGCTGTGATGTAGTATATGTATTTTGGAAGGCAGAATTGGGGCTCTAACACTCTTTAAAGAGGGAGAGAGAAATGAAGGGGAAGTTGTAGATAGGAAGGGGAGATTTTTGAGTTTGGAGGATGTATTCTTTTGGGTAAAGAGGGAGATTAGTGATGAAATTCATTTTGTAGAGACCTTTTCTTGTATCGATACTATGCAGAAATAAAAAACTGTGCCCATTGAGTGGATAGGTATTATGTTGCCTCAGAGATCAAACAGGATACAGTCGGAGAGTGTATGGTTGGTATCTCTCTCTCTACGGTTTAGAGAGATAAAGAGTGAAATATTCCCTTCTCTGTCAAATTGCAGTGTATGCTAACGCCAGTTGTTCCAGGCTTTGGATCTCTTTGGGCCCAAGCAAGGTTTAAAAGTATGGTTTGGTGACCTTGATTGTCCTCTTGGAAAGGTTGTCTAGATCGGCGGTCTGAATGGGTGATCTAGGCCGCCTCGTGAACTGGTGAATAATTTTTTTTAAAAATAGGTGCGGTTTGTATAGAGTTGAGGCTCTAAACAATCAAAGTAAAGCACATCTTCAAATAGTGTTGAGAAATCTAGTTTCAATACTAGAAATCATCGTGATAGCTTAAAAAAATATTTTCATTTTTAATTATAAAATTTAAAGCTTCAAAATATTGTAGATTAAGCAGGTCTATGATAACTTGAAAATCTTGAAAATTAACGGCTAAAAAATGCAGGACAAGTTGTGTCATTTTTTAAATTTGAAATTTATATGTTTTTTAATGTCGATGCATCTTGATGTTAAGATGATCAATTTGAGGATATTTGAACATCAAAACAATCTTATCTTGATATCGAGATGATCAATTGGAGGATATTTGAGCATCAAAACCACCTTTTTTTAGTGAAATAGAGTTTCGGCTCTACATAAACTTATTTTTTAAAAAATTAAAAAATTTAAAATATAAAAAATATAGTGGAATCGGTTTTTTTAATAGGATTGACGGAACCGATTAATTCTCTCTATTTAGATAAAATCAATGGCTGTGACGATTCTTGATGTGAACCAGCCAGATCGGTAGAGTTCGCTGATTTTTAAAACGTTGGTTAAAACTTAAAAAAGTGATTGCAACTGAACACAACGGCCGTTGCGGTTTGGTTTTGGTTGTCATTTTGCGGGGAACGTGCCCGATATTTGGTCTACCCAACCGTTAAAAAAGGACGCTAAAATTGGCCGTTGATGGGTTTTGTTGTATTTCAATTTGGACCAGGGGGACTCCTAACTTTGACGCTTACTCTAAATTTGGCATAAAAAAAAATCAGTAACTTGAACCGTTAGATTCATATTTTTACTGGGGTCCACGGGGAACGTGCCTGACATTTAAGAAGAAAGCGTGTGGGCCCGGTAAAGAGTAGGCCTAGCTGTCGTCTTTTATTGGGAGATGAGATAACCAAATCACCATCGAATATTCCTTTCTTTACATTTAATTATTTTTTACTCGAGTAAAATAGGTAATTACTCATAATTATTTGGGTGCTACAATCCGTTTTTTTTTTGGTGAAGAGTGAATAATAAAAGTATAAACAAGTGATCATATTGGGAGATGAGATAACCAAATCACCATCAAATATTCCTTTCTTTACATTTAATTATTTTTTACTCGAGTAAAAAAGGTAATTACTCATAATTATTTGGGTGCTACAGGCCGTTTTTTTTTTGGTGAAGAGTGAATGATAAAAGTATAAACAAGTGATCATATGGGATTTTCCGTATTTACGTGTATAGGATCTCAAAAGATTATCATTAAATTTGAGATCTATAAAAAAATCAAATCCTATATTTATATGATAATTTTTTTTAAAGATATGTGTCAATTGTAATGATAATTTTTTGGATTCTTACCCATAGACGGATGAAAGTCTTATGAAATCATTACTCATAAAATTATATCGGTAGTTTATGATCAGCTAACATATTCATTGACTTATTGAAACTTAAGAATGGGCTCTTTCGTTTTTTATTTAGAGTTTAATCTCTAAAAACCGTGCCTTGCATAAACCTGATTTTTTCTAAAACTTTTGAATCGGGGAAAATTTTTGGAATTGTTAAAAGGTAGCCTAGGTATTACATTAATTATTTACTTATGTAACCCCATCATGACTCGAGCTTAGGCCTTAGGCTACATTTTGTAGCATATGCTCTAGTTTTTACGGCAGGGTTAGGCCAAGCGGCCCATTGCCAGCCTTAGACATAGACCTTAACACAAAGGAAAACTCTAATAATAGTTGAGCAGCTATAATTAATAGTAATATAGGTGAAATCTCAGCCGTCAGATCTTCATCGAACGATTCAAAATATATATTATTATTTTAATTTTATTTTTTATTTTTATAAATATGATTCAGATGGAATTTTGGGTATATATACATAAATCTATTGCGCACCATATAAAAATATAAAAAAATTATTTTCAATAATTTAAAATGACCAAATTACCCCTATCATTTTTCAGGGGTATTTGGATCATTTTATATTTTTTTAATTGTGAGCCCTATTTTTTAATACACATGTTTAACATTTTGACCGATTTATAGAAAAATATAAAAATTCATATAGTGATATACATTCTGAATCGTATGATGAAGATCTGACGGCTTCCATTCTACCTATATTACTATTCATTATAGCTGCCCAATTATTGTAAGGTTTGTTCTAATACAAATATGGTCTTCAATTTTAGCAATGCATGTGACGACCAAGATCATTCACACAACAAAATTACGATCTAAATTAAATCAGATGATCTTAACTCGGATGACAAACATGGCTGATCATATAATTGCCCTTAAATATAATTAAAGGCACGGTTTAGGTGCGCTCCTGCTATGCTTCTAATATATTGCAGACCTTCCAAAATAGTCAGGGAGTATACACAGATGGGTGTGGTTTGCATAA